CAACGTCACGTGATGTGTCATGACATATTACGACTTTTTTTCCATTGCCGGCAATGGAGTGGGCGCGGTTTCAGCATGACGTATCCGGCCCATGGGCTGACAGTTTCACACCCCTGTTCTAATCCCAGAAGGATCATTAAAAAGAAACAGAGTCTTCCAAGGGTTTTCTAGTAAAACGTAACATGGTCACTGTCATCAATACTGATTCCTGAGCTCTTTGAGCTTGGTTTTCTTGCAGACGTTTCATTACTCAAAATAGGTAACATCAGGGCTTTTTTTCTCATAGAACTCCCAGAACGGAGTTCGGGCACCTTTTTTGGATGGAACCTTGTAGGGTGGGCAAGGCGGGTTGTATGACATGTGTGAGTTCCAGCACCTTTTTTTTTTTAGAAAAAAAGCACTGGGTAACATTATCAGTGTTACCGTAGTAAGAAGTGGGGTTTACTCTCAGTTTATATGCTATTGGCTTGCCCTGTCAGTCTTGGTGGGAATGGTCTTGGAGGTTCTTTGGTTGAATTGTTTACTGTTAGCTTGTTTGGCAGTTCCTTGATTGAGATATTGTTTACTTCAGAGATCCCAAACCTTTTGAGGACCAGGGATCGGTTCCGTGGAGAGAGGTTTTTCTGTGGATTGGAAGGAGCGTGGTTTCATGTACTGCCTGCATCCCGCAGACAGGACTTTGTTTGTTTGTGTGGACCAGTTTCTGGCATGCTGTGGCTCACTGCTGTTCCACAGACTAGGGGTTTAGGGACCCTTGATTGTTGGTCTGATGCTAATCTTGGAGTTAATCTCATTCCTAAATGATAGGGATAGCTGCACAACTATGGAGTCTTGCATCAAGGGAAAGTTTAAATGAGAAAATCCTTATTAAACTAATGAAGGAAAAGATCTCTATATAAAAGGGAAAAAAGAATGGATAGAGAAGAAAGCTATAATGGAAAATTTACAACCCCCCCCCCAAAAAAATCAGTCAGCCTAGTAAGTATATTACTATATCTCCTTAAATAAGTCTAGCATGTGTTCCAAATTAATTGCATCAGGAGGACTAATTGGAGGGAAATCATCCAACCCTCTGCTTGAATATTGAGGCCTTTTCTTCCTTTAGTGCTTAGTTTGATAAAATATGGAGAATAACTAAAAGTTTAAGGAAATTGACTGCTGCTTTATTCAATAATTGAATATCATGTTTCTGATATCCTGGATTTTATCAGCAAATCAGAAATGCTGACCCCACCTTCTGAATGACCTTGGTGGAATGATAAAGGTGCAATTTGATTTCCATGGTTATGTCATTGTTTAAGTGCAAAAGGCTTTTTGGGAAATGGAAAGCTGAATTCCACTTATGCAGGCCTTTCAGCATGGAATCAACTTACCAGATGTTCTGCATTCCAAAGACTATGATTTATCTCAGCCCAGTGCAAAAGCAGCAGGTAAAGCAATAAACGTGAGAGTGAACGGATCATCAGATGGCACCTGTTTTAACTCTGAAGCACCCTCTAATTTTATTAAAGAGAAAGAACAATTTATAGAATGCGTATACAGTAAACCTGTCATTTACTTGGCAGTGGGGCTTCTGTTGTGTATTCAGCAAAGAAAACAATTGAGTTAAACAATTAAAGGGACCTTAAGTTTAACAATTAAAGGGAACTTAAATAAAAGAAGTTAGCTCTATACCCATGAATATACACATATATTCAATGTAATAGACAAAGGAAGTGATGTAAGATTTAAAAGCAATCAGTGAGACTGAATGAATGGAGAATTGCTTATGAAAGACATTCTCGAGAAAAATGAACTAGATAAATTAGAAGCTGCTGGGAGGGGGGATGTGGAGTTCCTAAGACCTTAATAAGACCTTAACAACACTTGGTAAAGGAAGCTTTATAACACAAAGATGTATTTACAAAGGGGACATGAATAAATCCGTACTACATGCAGCTGTCCCTTGTGGTTATGAGCTGCTGAAGACCCAATACACACATGCAATACTGCAAAACTACAGTACCCTAAAGATTTGTTTGTTTGACATAGTTCAATTTAACTTTCTTGACACAATGTTTGAACAATGTAGTGCAGACATGTCAAACACAAGGCCCGGGGGCTGGATGCAGCCCGCAACGTGGTTTCATGTGGCCTGCGAAGCCATCCTGCAAACAGTGAGGGAATGTCCCCCGCTGCCTTGGCCCTGGCCCAGGCTACTCGGGAGCCAATGTACAATTTTGTGGTGGTCATCTATGCTGAAACACATTCAGTCTTAGGTCCACAAGGCCATCTGGAAACAGAAAGGGACTGGCCCCTACCGCGTTGGCCCCGCCCACTGGGCGCATGCTGGGAGGTGTCATCCTTTGTGAGGAACGAAGAAATGCACCATCACCTGGAAGTGGCCAGCAAATGACCCTCGCCTACTTCACATATCCGGCTTGATGGGCTCCAGGGGAGGGGTTTCAGCAGGCAGTGGGGCACTCTCCTCACAGTGCTGAGAGGCTGAGCCAGGCAGCACGAATCCAAAAAGAAGTGTGCCACCTCTTAGCCCCCAGCCTGCCTGATTTCAGCAGGCAGCAAGGTGCAAAGCTGGCAAGCTTTGCACTGCCCGGTTCAGACTCTCGGCGCTGTGAGGAGAGCGCCCCGCTGCCTGCTGAAACCAGGCAGGCTGGGGGCTGGACAACATTGCTCTTATTTTCAGATTCACACTGCCTGGCTTAGCCTCTCGGCACTGTGAGGTGAGTGCCTCGCTGCCTCTGAAACCAGGCAGGCTGGGGGCTGGACGGCATTTCGCAGGTAACGTCGATTCTCACGTTGCTCATGGCATCCCCTCCCCCAAAGCCCACCAAGCCAGATATGAGAAGTAGGCGAGGACCATGTGCTGGCCACTTCCAGGTGATGGTGCATTTCTTCATTCCTCACAAAGGGTGACACGTCCCCAGCTGCGTTTCGTGCCTATTTTTCCTCCCTCCCTCATCTCAAATATTTCCCCACCAGTCTGTTCTAGGAAGGAAGGAAGGAAGGAAGGAAGGAAGGAAGGAAGGAAGGAAGGAAGGAAGGAAGGAAGGAGAGAGAGGGAGGGTCTGAGGGACAACCTGCCGTAGTCCTGCCCTGCTGCTCTTTCACCATCCCCTTGCCCCCTTCTCCTGGCCTATCCTGGGAGTCTCCCATCCTATTGCTAAGGAAGCTTTAGACACAAAGCTGGGTCTAAAGGAGAGGGAGTGGGCCTCTTTCTGACTTTGCCCTCGTACTCTGGCTAAGGAGAGCAAGCACAGCAGCAGCAGCCTTGAGGAGGAGGTAAGTGCAACTGGGCACCCCCTTAGGATAATGGGGCTGGGCTTGGTGATGTGAGTGCTTGAGGACCGGGGCTGGGCATTTGACCTCTGCTGCCCAGGGCTCCAGGAATCCCGGGGCATCATCCAGCCCCCCCTTCGCATGGCCTGAAAGGAACAGTGAGGCTCTTCCAATGGACCATGCCTTGGCACTTGCCCTGGTCCAATCCCTTTATGCCAGAGACCCTCAGATCTGTCCCACTCCTGCCCAGCCCCCACAGGCACCCTTGATGCGAACGATGTAGAACTGGCCATGCCCACCCAGTAGGCCACACCCACCCAGTAGGCCACACCCACCCTGGCCACCCCCCCCAGGGCAACCGCAATGCTGATGAAATTAAGTTTGACATCCCTGATGTAGTGCCTCATTTTATTTAGCAGTTGATGGCAGATATTTTTTTGTAGCAGTCAAATAAATAAATCTCATTTATTTACCAAGTGGTGTCAAATTTTGTAAAAGCTTTTCATCAAGGATCATGATAAAGCTTTTACCAGAGCAGATAAAAGAGAAGTACTTCTTCAAACAAGCCAAGTTTAACAACCAGAGTTTGATGCAATAAAATGTGGCAATCACTGCTGTTTATGATAGTTTATGCAACTTTCTTGTAATACGGTGAATGGGAGCATTCTGTCTGTTCTTCATATGCTCAGCCAACACTGAGCTAGAAAAATAGGAGGAAAGAAGAGTAAATGTCAGTCCTCCATTCTCCCATTTTAGGAAAAAAGCAAGGAATTTTTTTGATGTAATAGTATTTATGCATTAATCTGTTTTCTTCAGCAAACATTGGCACAAGATGCATGAGATATTTAAAAATCAGAATTCAAGTCCTGTAAACCTGCAGATAAAAAGTTAGATTGCAAATCCAAAAGATTTATGATATGTCCACCTGAAATGTCTATGGTCTATAATATCCTTTCCAAGAACAGAGAAAGATTTGATTTCTGATTTTCCTGACTATATGCTATTAAAATTAAATTTCACACACTAAAAAATATTTCTGACCTTCCTTTCCTTCTTTACTGGCAAAAACAACAGTAATTCTGTATTTTTGTTTAATGAGTATACATGGCAGTTTATCTGAATGGAGCTCTAGGAAACAATGGAAGAATCCTAATTTTTCATTTCTTTGATCTAGCATGTCCCGTTTCTAAACCCATTTTTCAATATGGAACAAATGGTATGATGGTTTTTTTTTCCAGCAAAATATTTTATTTTTTGTTTTAGCCTGTGTTTTAAAACACAGACGAGTAGCCACACAACACGTGGGATTAGAGAAAGCAGGATGTTGTACGCCAATCAACAATAAGGTCCCATAGTCCTATGAAAAATATAATATAAACTCTCTTGGAGTCAAACCCATGCTTTCCATGCCAATTGTCTTCTTTTGGGATGTTTTCGAAAGTCAGCCCTGTACTACTTAAAGTGTTGGAAGTTGTTTTGAAGAAGGCGTCTCATTAAAATGGACATAACACAACAGTCGCAACTACAATCGCCATCACATCAGCGTCTTCGCGGGGCAACTTTGCAATTGGAAACAAAATTGTACAGGGACCCTTCAAAAAGCAACTTTAAATCACAGCCGGACAGAAATCCTCTAACACTACAACTTCAGAGACGTACGTCCATTGAAGTAGAAAAGGGAAGAGGGTGATTCTACACTAATTTGTATCTCTATGTGGTTTTCAGGAAGTTAAACAAAGAGAGCAGCGATCGCTCGCTGCTTGGGACTGGAACGGATTCAGCTGTGAAAGGTTGGTCTTTTGAAAGGAAGGACTCGTTATTTTCTAATAATGCAGCTAACACTGTTCAGCCTCCCACTGCTGGTTTCTAATCTAGACGATGTGTGAATTTGCAGGTTTCTCTTGCTTTAATCCAGTGTTTTTCAACCTAATCGACATTTAGATCGGTGACTTCAACACAGAATTCCCTAGCCAGCAGCATAATGGCTTGCTATATTGCCTTTTTTTTTTTTTTTTGGCATAATGTGTCCATCTATTTATTTGTACCCCATCTTTACTATTTTTACAAATTAATAAAAACAATTCGGTCTCGATGCATACCATTGATAACCCACGGTTAAAATTTGGATAGCTGCTTAGAAAAGGCGGTGATACATATAACAATAGCTGGTCTGCCAACATTTCAGTTCTGTTCCTGTCTCCTGATACAACAACTTGTATCATTGTTGCATTTTCCAGTAGGTTCTAGCCTGATGAAGAAAATGTACAGATCAAAAGAAGATCTATGACTGGAACTATTAAATAAATAAAATACTACTATTTATTTTTAAGTCATTTCATCATTCTGAGATATGTTGCTTTTAAATTAATAAAACTGCAGTTGTGGGAAGAAACTTAGATTTCCTCCTGACCTGTACATCCTCCTGACCTGTACATTTTCTTTGATTAGGCTAGTTTCTATTGTAAAGCAATGCTCAATTCATGTTGGCTTAGGGTTCAAGAATAAAATGGAAAAGTTGGTAACATAGATATCTTAATATAAGCAGTTTGAATCGTCTATTATCCACAGTCTAGAGACTACAGTCCAATAGTTTGGATATGTAACAAACTATATTATAGCTTAAGTATAATGACCTTCTGGACAACAAAATAAAGCTAAGAGGATGGCTGGTTCTTATAGCATGTGGAACTACAAACTACTCAACTTCAAAAACTTTTAATGTCTTTAAATTAGAACAGTTCTTCCCATAGTTATGACAGTGAGTTACCAGGACCTGGTTACTTGGTAGTTACCAGAAATCTTGAATTTAGAAATAAATCAGTAGCAGCAATGGATTTTTTTTCCATTTTCTAAAGAATAGAAGAAGCTGTAGCCCACTAGTTCGTCATAAATAAAATCCCCTTTCAGCACTGAAAATGTAAATTTTTCATAACAACAAAAAAAGCTATTCCTTTTTCTTAGGAATTAACAGTAAAGACATTTTGCTGTCTGAGGCTGCATCCTGTACCCTTCTAGTCAAGTTTTTTTTTTTTAGCATATGGAAATAGAAACCCATCAATTACATGTCCTAACCCAGCAATGACCAACCTTTTTAGCTCGGTGGACTGGCGGGGATGGGGGGAGAGGGAATGGTCCCATGTGAGTGGCAAGTGAGCGTGCACACTAGCTCCATTTGTGCAAGCAGCGGGCACGTGTGCCCACTGCTTGCCAAATGGAGCTGTGCACGCAAGTGGAGCTGTGTGCAAATACACAATCACCCACCATGCCTGCGGCCTGGTTGTGAATGGGCGTGGTCCAGTAGTGGGCCACGGCCTGGGGATTGGGTATCCCTGTCCTAATCATTGACAGTAACACTACTGGAAGAGCCATGGTGGTGCAGTGATTAGAATGCAGTATTGCAGGCTGACTCTGCTGATTGCCACGAGTTTGATCCTAACTAGCTCAAGGTTGACTCAGCCTTCCATCTTTCCGAGGTCGGTAAACTGAGGACCCAGATTGTTGGGGGAATATGCTGACTTGTAAACTGTTTAGAGAGTGCTGTAAAGCACTATGAAGCAGTATACAAGTCTAAGTGCTATTCCTATTGCTATTACAATAATACCAAATAATTCACTGCTTTTTAGAATCTGCTAACTGCAACAGCTATTGTTTTCTATTTCACTTCTAAATTTTTTATTATTATAACATAAAAATATAGAAAAACAAGGAAAAGAAAAAGAAAAGTGCAAAGGCAGAAGAGCAGTTACCTTATTCTACTTCATGGTAGGACCAACCCTTGAACAGAAGCAATAATCAAGTTCTCAGTTCGGAAGTATGGGGGATAAATTAAGAATTGACTAAAGAACATTTGGCTTGCTTCCAAAGCAGATCTGGGAGTCACAACAAGCTGGGTTGATGATGAAATAAGAAAAATTGTAGCCAAGCTTAGGTATAATAGTCATGATTTATTAGACTGCATGATCCTTCTTTCTATCCTTCATTAGCTCAGCCTTGCTGAGACCTCTGAAATGGAAAACCATGGTTTAAATGCTGCTAACAGATTAAAATATAGTTTATAAGACCAGCTGCAACAAACATTTTTTTTGCATGGTAATATTAGAAGTTAGTGTGCCTTTACATTCTCTTCCTCAAAAGATAAAATTGATTTTTAAATTTGGATGTGAAACACCAACCATATTTTAAATCCCAAGAAGTGAGTTGGGAGTATATATGTGTCTATGTGTAGGGAAATTGATTAAAAAGGTCACATATCATAGCAAAATTATAATCTGTTCAGATCTGCTAAAGGAAAGTGGAAGTAAATCTTTCCAAGAAGAGGAAGTTCTGAGCTGCAGAAGTAGGACTGAATGGAACCATGAAAATAATTGTAGAGAAGCTTAAAAGAGTGTGCTTCTGATTTATTATTCAAGAAAAGAGGAGCTAGCAGGTAAAATAGAGGATCTGTTTAATAGATTATTAATTATATAATAATTTTGTGGTTAAATTCATGGAACATTTTAATTTTTATTCTTTAAATTATAGTAAAACATTGTGTTTTATATCACTGTTTTCTTGCTATGAAATATGAATGGATCAACTGATCATTGTATAATAAATGATTATTTTAATTGTTCCAATGAATAACTTTCTATTCTTTTTTTACATTTTATGTTTGATCATATTATATCTAACTAGAATGACCTTGAAGTATCACATAATAGAAATAAATATAGTATGTGTCTTTCATTAATCTTTAAACTTTGCTGAGCCCCAAATTAATTCAGTCAAAATACTCTTTATCTATAACAGTCTTAATAATTTAGTATAAACTTTTGTCTTTTATTCAGTCATTAGCAGGGCTTTTCCTGAAAAGGAGAATTTATATTTCCATAACACGTTCATCAATGTTAGGACATCTATAAAGTTAGAAAATAAAAAAACTTGTTTCCATCTAGTGATCATCCATATTTTTACAGGCCAAATATAACAATAATCAGTGTAATCTCCATCTCCCAAAAGTATTTTGTACAATGTGCAATAACTGGGGGCCATTGTTCCTGATCAAATGATGTTTGCTTATAGTAGCATCTATGCACGCTTCATATTGATTGGGTATAGACTAGTGTACAGGTCAGCAACCTACTGCTTCACTATCAGGGGTGGTAATAAATAGGATTTTAATTCTCATGTTTTAGATTGCAATTCTTCAGGGTATCAAAAAAGTATTACTTTAGTTATAGTGTTTATGGACTTAATTCAGAGATAACACTAGCGCAGGGATGAACAATTTATACTTACAACCAGTTGTTTAGTGACCGTTTAAAGTTACAACAGACCCCCCCCCCAACAGCTACTTATATCTTTGTTCTGAAGTTACAATGTCTGCCCATCAATCATGTGACTTACATTTTGGGTGCTCAGAAACTGCCCTGCATTTATGGCTGTTTGCAATGCCCCATAGTCATAATTCCTTTTTGTTTTTCTGGTTAGTATCCTGATGTTACCTCAAAAATATGGAATTGACCATTTGAGAAAGAGTTGGGTAAAAAAGATATTGGTGACTTTAGTTGATGAAATCTCTTAAGTGAACTTGCGGTTATGATATCTGATAGCTTCTGTATGCTTCAAATGTTATTAATATGCATTTCAAAAAGTTGGACTACCAGTCAAGTCTTTGGCTCTAGCTATGTACTATAGTAATATAGATGAGATTTTATAAAAAATAAAAAAATTGCCCAATCCCAATCATTGTAATTAATAAAGTATTGGTAAATATGCCACACTTAAGCAGCTGGTAGGTCCTAGATATACCTGGCTTACATCAGAAGCTAAGTAAGGTCAGTCTACTGCAGGGTTACTGAGTAGAAAGAAAAGTCAGGAAATGTCTTTGAAAAACAGTGTCAAATTGCATCTATTGTGCTGTCAAGAAAACAGCAGAGTTGCTGTCATGAAGATTCAAGCTTGAATTGAGAGCATCTTTATTTTTATCATTGGTGTTTGGAGCTGTAACAGCCATTAGTTTATACCATACGTCTGTAAATGTTTTTTTTTTAAAATCCTAATTAAAAATTGGCAACTGAGAAATTAGATATATTTATCTCTTAATATTACAGACAATTAATTCATCTAAATTGTACTAAATTTACATCTAAATTATATTATTAAATACTTCTTATTTAATAATATAAAAGGGGATTTATTGCTTTGCTCTTCTTCCTGGAATATAGCACTGGCCAAGAGTTTTTTCCCCATTCTGAATTATGTTTGTATGATGAATGTTATGTTTGTTTTCCAAAATGATAAATGATAGAAAGATGTCTGCAACCCCTGCAGGTGTTGTTTTATGTTAATTGAGATTTATAACACATTTATCCATATATATTCAGAATTAAAATTGAAAGTACCTTATAAAACAAGGTTAAATGATACTTGAGCTAAATTAGTAAAATAATTCTTACTTGGTACTCTAAGTATTAACAGTCTTTCTTCACAGTTGGTTTCTTTAACAATTAATATACTGCAGGGTTTTATATATATATATATATAGAAATCTTACCCAGTTTGCATAATGGTAGAGGAATTCTGGGAATTGATGTCCACACTGCTAGAGGGTGCCCAGTTTATTCTAGGGTGTTGCAGTTAATCTCTCCCTTTAGATGAACAATCAAAACTGGTTTCTATTAGCTGCCATCAGTATTAAATATGAATTGAAAGGCAGCCTGTGAATCAATAAATACACCAGTGGTAGTCTGTTTCCCTGCCGCCACCCCCCTTTTCAATAAAATGATGAAGTGTATGAAATTGCCGCAAATCTTAGAGTAGCTTGGATGGAGACAGTGCTGTGGATTCGTCACAGTTAAGTCAAGGATAATTGTATCTAACATTTGTGTAAAACAGATCCTGAAAGGTGAGGATCATGTGATAAGAGGCAGTTCAAGGCTGAGTCAAACAATCTACATAAACAACTATTGCTTTTCATTTATAATTATTTATAATACATAATTGTTCTGGTTTTGCTTTTAACATTCCAGTATTTTCATAAAAGCTCTACTTCTGTAGGAACTTATGACCTTCATTTTATCATGCTTTATTTGCCTATTTAAATGTTCCTATATTCCCACTTATATCCTTTTTAGATTTCAGTGTGGTGCATAATAATAATAGTAGTAAAAAATTCTAATGAAAGTGAATACCGAACAATGACTAAGATCCATAATAATAAACTCCCAATATATTCAACCTGCCCAGGTAAATAAAATTATTTTTGTCTGACTATGAAGGTTATATTACTACTGTCCCAAAGACGTCTCTGAAGAAAGAATTCTAACACTAAGATACTCTCAGTGGGAAAAAAAGATTGTGTTTCCAAGTAGTACTCCAATCCACCTTTGGTTACAAGTCAAATCCAAGGCGAAAATCCTTGACTAAAAAGTATTATCTAGCTTATGAGTAAATTTTAGATTATTATTAATAGTTTAATATGGTTGAATTTATATTAGTTTTAGTATTATGGTTTAATTATATTATTATTTTCATTTTTAATTTGTTAATATTTATTTTGAAAAGGAGTTAAAGTATGTTATGGATTTGATTGTTTGTATAGTTGGGTAATGTTAGTTAGATTATGATTGTTTATTTGTAACCCTGTAATCAGCTCTGGGAAGTGGGGGAGGGGTGGGAGGGGTGGGAGGGATTTGGGATATATATTGTATAAAATCTTTAAAACTTTTAATAAAAAAAAAATCCAAGGCGAAAATCCTTGATGGTGGCAAATTGATTTCTTTGTTATTACTGTCTAGATTTTGCTTTTTGTGATCTTCATTTTTTGTCCCTCCACTTTTGGCTTTTTGTCTCTGTTTTCACTTTCATTTTTCTTCCTAGAAGTCTCTTTTCCTGCTTGCTTCATGGGTCCTTTTTTCAAACTCACCATATTCTTATAACCATTGCGTTTGATATGAATTTCTATATAGTTTGGATGTGCATTGGGATTTTGGGGAACTGCCTAAAGTTGGGTTTTGTGTATCTAAAGCAACTGCCAAAGCAGTAAAATATTATTTCAACTTTAAAAAAATTGTCTCACTAAATGACAGATGGTTTTATACATTTAGTCTACTAAGCCTATGAACAAGAATTATACTACAGTTTAATTTTTACCCTTATAATGATGTCTCATTATAATTTTACCTCTATCCAACATGTTAAATAAACTAAAATCAATTAGTTCTTAATATTATTTTAGTAATGCCATGTATCTAATCTATTTGATTTCTTGAATGTCACTTGTATTTGGCCTATCTCACCCTTGAAGACCAAATATTTCTGAGAAATTTCTCTTCAAATAAAAGTGTCTTTTAAAAGTGTAGACTGTTCTTATGTTTAGTTCATTGTTAAATGTGACTAAACGTTTACTTTTTATTCAATTAGAACAATATCAAAGTGTTGTAGAATAGCAACTGGGCCCAGAATATTGATCTTTGTACCTTAAGAATATTAATATAGAGGCTGATCAGGATATATTATGGGACCCCTGTAACTCTTGACTCCAAGTGTTCTTATGTGGTGGTAGTTACTATTAAAGAACAGATATTACTTGTTGATAAATTCTGGTATTCTTGTCCATCTCAAGAAGGATTAATTTTTTTTTACTTTTTCTTATTATGCAAATCCTCATTTTATGGTCACCTGAACGTATATGTAAATGTTATATAAAGAAATAGCATAAATCATTAGTCATGTCCTCATGACCTCTCAGTTAAAAAACCCTTGAAAATGATGTGTGTGTGAGAGAGAAAGCTATCACAATATATTATACCAGATAGAAGAGAAAGAGCAGTGAATAATTGGACTATAATTTAACATGATCCACAGTTCTAATAATCTGTTCACCCATCCTATCCATTTCATTTGTGATGCCAGTGTCAATACAAACCAGAGCTGTAACTAGATTTATCCTTGTTACAGATTGTATTGTATGATGGTGATTATCAAAAGTAGACATAGGCCATAATCCATCATAGAATTAGACATGCTTTAAATGTGAGTTTCAAAATAAAAGAGAGGGAGGCTAGAAATCTCAGTTGAAGTAAGAGACTATGCCCACTAAAATGAATGGCTGCAAAAGGCTGCAATCTTAAATATATCTGTTAAGATTTATGCCTCAATAGACAAACTGTGACTTACATCCAAATAGAGAGGCATAAAATATATTGTTTCAAGATATTTATTTTAAATGTGGGAAGCAGTACGTAAACAAAGGAATAAATAAGATTGTGCTTTGAGATTGAAATCTTACATACATTTCCTTAGAGGAAAGTCTTATTCATTGGAACTTATTAAGGCAGATATCTACGGAATTGCACTGCAAATGAATATAATTCTTTTGGACTATAATTATAATCTTTATAACGTGCAGTTGCATGTTTGATCTCAGATAGTTTTCAAAAAAAGAAAAGATATTTAAACAAGCCAACAATAAACATTTTCATATATTAAGTAACCATTGCTTCTTTACCTGTGATATGAGGGCAATTCGGAAATAAATCTCCATTTCGTTATCAATGACAGACACTTATAGACACAGAACTTTTATTATACACATTAAAAAACCACAACATTGCATTACTTTTTGACATAATCACCATTCAAATTGAGGCACTTTTCATCACGTCTTACAAGTTTTGAAATTCCTTAGTAGTAGCTGCTCAGCGCCAAATCTAGGCTATGTGGGGGTGATCAAAAAATCCCAACGGAACTGCTTTAAAAGTTCTTGGGCATGTCTAGAGGTGCGGGCGAGCATTATCATGAACCAATACCACATCGGAAGTCAGCATGTCCCAACGTTTGTTATTGATGGCTCGTCTGAGTTTTCATAATGTTTCGCAGTAGACTTCTAAACTGATGGTTGAACCATGCTCCATGAATTACAATAGCAGTACTCCTTTGGCATCTCCACATTTGGCGGGATTTTCTATGACACCACTTCCGGTGCGGTGTTGGTTCACGATAATGCTTGCCCATACACTGCTAGACGCACCCAAGAACTTTTGAAGCAGTTCCGTTGGGATGTTTTTGATCACCCCCCCCCCCATAGCCTAGCAACTACTATTACTAAGGAATTTCAAACCTTGTAAGACGTTATGACAAGTGCATCAATTTGAATGGCGATTATGTCTAAAAATAATGTAATGTTGTACAGTAGTTTTCTAATGTGTATAATAAAAGTTCTGTATCTGCAAGTGTCTGTCATTAATATCTAAATGGAGGTTTATTTTCAAATTGCTCTCGTATTATCTACAAGTTTTTTAAGTAACACCACAAATTAATTTAATCTGGTCTGGTTTCCTTCCTTCCTTCCTCCTTCCTTCCTTCCTTCCTTCCTTCCTTCCTTCCTTCCTTCCTTCCTTCCTTCCTTCCTTCCTTTCTTTCTTTCTTTCTTCCTTTCTTTCTTTCTTTCATACTTGGCGCCATATAGGTAGTCCTTAACATACAACAGTTCATTTAGTGACCATTCAAAGTTACAGCGGCACTGAAAAAAATGACATGATCTTTTTTCACACTTATGACTGTTGCAGCATCCCTATAGTCACATGATTCAAATTCAGACACTGGCAAATTCAACAGGAAAGCCAGCTTCACTGAACACCCATGTTACTAACTTAACAACTGCAGTGATTCACTTAACAGCTGTGGTAAGAAAGGTCGTAAAATAGGGCAAAACGCATTTAACAAATATCTCACTTAGCAATAGAAATTTTGGGCTCAGTTGTGGTGGTAAGTTAAGAGCTAGCTGTACCTGATTTGTATTTCAGTGAAATATAAAAGCAGCTGTCTATTAGGATCATTTCAAAGATTTTATCAAAACTCTTTCATTAAATTAAGAGAGGTTCAAGGTAGAGCACTTTATATTCTGCTAATAAATTATTTTATTTTTGTTTGAAACAGTGTGATATGTTTATTATCACTGTGCTTTGTTAATGAATTTAAAAGAAGCTTACAGCAAGAAAAATGTAATCTTAAATTTAAATTCTGCTTGTTCAATAATAAACATTCCACCCCACAGAAGCGTGGTGAAAAAGCATACATTTGCATTTTTATTTTACACAGTTGCTTGGGCATCACTCTTGCATGGAACTGTCTACTGATACATAAATTATGATTAATAATTAAAATGTACCATGTGTGCAATTTCAGAGGAATATTGTATTGTTTCAACAGGGCAAAGATGCTGTGGCTTCAGAGTTGGACCTTGCATCTCACAAATTATTCAAAATCATTTCAAAGGATGTTGTGTGAAGCCAGTGCTAAACTACCAGTGTTAACGTTGTTCACCAAGGTAAATACTAGTTGACCAAGTAAACCAAATAGGATAGTCCCTAGCATGCTGGCTAGGGAATTCTGGGAGTTAAATTCCACATGTCTTAAGATGGCTAAGACTTCATTGAGAATCCTGCAACCATATCTTGGAAGAATAAAAATAGGAAAATGTAGCTGTTTTCTGACAGTAGCAAGATTATTACGTGTAGAATGCTTTCAACAGTACTAGGCCTGTATCAGAAGCAGGCAACCTGGGATTCTCAAAATATTTTTGAACATCAGTTTCCATCATTACAGATGTGCCTAAGCTTGCAAAAGCTAATGGGAATTGAGGTTGAGCAAAATAACGGAAAGGGTTCTCGTCCATTTCATGCCTATCTGGTCATATGAAATTGCTGTATATAGCCCGTTATACCAAACTGTATAAAATTTTGATTAATTATAGTATTCCAAGATATCAAGAGTCTTATTCAATTACTACTCCATATTTCCATTTTGACTAAACCTGGATTCTTCAGTATAAGGTCATTCTGTATAGGGGACCATAGCTTTAGTACTGAGTTACGGTTCCCAAAGAAATGGCACTTGTGCTTCAGGTTGATTATTAGGAAATTCAATAACAGATTTACCCTTATATTTCTTGGTTTCTTTTTTTAAAAAATTGGATTTATCCTCTCAGGAACTGGACCAGCCCAAGATAATTTACCATAAATAAATAAATATATTTCTCTCTGATGCAAAGGATGTCATGTTGTGTTTCACTCTTTTAACTCTAGAAGCCAACGGAGTGATAGCTGAATGCAATATCTGCATTGTCCAAGAGATGCAATGGCTGTAATAGGCTAGTTTATAAGATGTGGGACAGGTCTTGTGGTCTACCAAGTGTAAGTTCCAAGACCAGAAAGTAGCTAGAAGCTCAGAAGGAACAGCTAATGATGTACCATTGTGGTCCTTCATCTGTTTTCTCAGACAATTGCCTCATTTCTTAAAGGTAACAGTATCCAAATATGCCCATATAATACTAAGTCAAGTTTGCATATGATTATGCACTAGGACTGTGATTTAGAGCATACAGGGATGCAAGTGTAGCAAAACCTTTCCTGCTTTCTTCCAATAGGCCAATCCCGATTATGAATGATTTCTTGGACTTTCAGCATTGATTGATCATGCTGATGTGTTCATTTTATACCATGAATAAAATTCCAAGAGAACAGTGGGCAGACTATACTTCCTGTTGGCTGTGCTCCTCCTTTCTTGGAATTGGGATGATGCAAACTTTACAGTTCCTACCCTTCAGTCACTGTGGCCCCTTGACCTTGATAACCTCCCTAAAAATTATTCATAACTCAGAGATTGAGTTTGAATTTGAAGGATTACTGACCTTGCTTGTGCCCTGGCATGTTCTCTTGTACCCATTTTTGTCTTCAGATCTGAACCATTTCAAGCTTTGATTCATATATATATATATGAATCAAAGCTTGAAATGTGTGTGTGTGTATATATATATACACACACACACACACACACACATACATACATACATACACACACACACACACACACATACACATACAGTAGTGCATAAAGATTGGAAGTTGAAGCATTCTGTGTATTTGTGTGAGCAGAAATCTGACTTGAGTGATTATTGAAGCTAGTTGTATAGCTACAACAGAAGGCAGAAATATCTTAAAGATATTTGCAATATCTAGTCTCTAGTACCTAGGTAACTACATCCTATTGAATAGAGCATCAAACAGCATTGTTCTCTATAGGTTTGCCTGGGAAGAAAGAGAGAAGGAAGTGACCAAGATTACCAACAGGAAGAAAGGCAAAGAAGGGCACAAAGTAAATCTTGATACCACTGTCCCCTTGTGCCATTAGAGTTATACTTCCCACAGTAAAGAATGTATTGATTGTTTACAGTATTACTTAATGGCCCTTGATAACTGAATTAATATCTCAACTCAGTTCATTTGTGAGACAAATGTTTCTGTTCAGAAATAAACAATTTTAAAAAGGGAAGAAACATGCAAAATGTAATTGGATTTCAGCCTGTTTTATTTAGCTGATCTTATTCAGGCAAGTTGAGCTAAACTTTTATTCTTACATATAATTTGAATATAACAAAGTTGTTTCAGTGCTAGTTATCTATGCGGCTTATAGTCTAATAGAAAAGAAATTGAATAATGGTATGATGGGGGATGGGGTAATTATTAACTATGGAAAGCCTTAGCTATAGCACATGCTGAGTCTTAGCAGTATGAAATTCAGTCAGTACCAAAGCTCGCTTAGGTGATTCATTAGGCCAGTCACTCTTTCTGAGCCCAATCTACTTTACAAAATGGCTACTGTAAGAAAAAAATAGGATGAGGAAGCATTATCTAGTAGATGTATGATAGAGGAAGGAAGGAAGGAAGGAAGGAAGGAAGGAAGGAAGGAAGGAAGGAAGGAAGGAAGGAAGGGGAAAAAAGGAAAGAAAGAAAGAAAGAAAAAGAAAGAAAGAAAAAAGAAAGGAAAAAGAAAAAAAAGAAAAAAAGAGAATAAATTACATTTTATGCAGGCTTGTGTTATTAAATAAACATTTCTTTACAAAATGTTCAGAATTGTCCAAAAAGCAGAAAAGATTAGTTCCTTAGACAAACTAAAAAACAGCTCCTTTTATTAGCTTAATGTAATATTCTCATTTTGGATCCATTCTATCCAGTTCCAATTATGTTTTTAAGTAAACTGAAAAATTATGCTACAAAGAATACACAGAAAGAATAATGGATGCCCAGAAGGTATGTTTGTTCTCTAGCAAAATTGTAGTGGGAGAGAGAACTATCTTAAACAAGATTTGTCTGGGTATATCAGTGTTCCCGGAATACAAAATATTGAATTGACTTAGAATTGTAGAATTGAATAGACTGACTACAAGCAGTGGCATGACAAAGTAGCAACAATGGTGCATTGGAAGATCTGCAAAAAATATCATTTGCCTGTAAGCAAAAACTGGTGGGATCATAAAATAGAGAAAGTCATAGAAAATGATAAAATTAAACTGCTCTCGGACTTCAGAATTCAAACAGACAAGCACCTGCGACAAAACACCCCAGACTTAACAATTGTCGATAAGAAAGACAAAAAAGTCTGGATAGTGGACGTGGCAGTGCCTGGAGACAGCAGAATAGACGAGAAAGAACTGGAGAAGATAACAAAATACAAAGACCTACAAATAGAAATAGAAAGGCTGTGGCAAAAGCAAGCAAGGGTAGTACCAATAGTAATAGGCTCCTTGGATGCAATCCCAAAACAACTGGAGCACCACTTGAACACCATTGGCATTGACAAATTCGCTATTAGTCAACTGCAAAAGGCGCCTTACTAGGAACTGCTTCCATCCTGCGACGATACCTGTAATACCATCAAACATCCACATCTGCCTATCCCAGGTCCTGGGTAAGGACTCGATAGGTAGACAAAATGCCAAATCCAGTCTAAACATCTGGCTGACTATGTGATGATCCATAATAATAATAATGTTGGAAGGGACCTTGGAGGTCATCTAGTCCAACCCCTTGCTCAGGCAGGAAACCCTATACCATTTCAGACAAATGGCTGTCCAGTTTCTTCTTAAAAACCTCCAGTATTGGAGCATTCACCACTTCTGGAGGCAGGTTGTTCCACTGGTTAATTGTTCTAACTGTCAGGAAGTTTCTCCTTAGTTCTAGGTTGCTTCTCTCCTTGCTTAGTTTCCACTCATTGCTTCTTGTCCTGCCTTTAGGCACCTTGGAAAATAGCTTGACTCTCTCTTCTTTGTGGCAGCCCCTGAGATATTGGAACACTGCTATCATGTCCCCCCTCATCCTTCTCTTCATTAAACTAGACATACCCAATTCCAGCAGCCATTCCTCATATGTTTTAGCCTCCAGTCCCCTAATCATCTTTGTTGCTCTTCTCTGTACTCTTTCTAGAGCAGTGTTTCTCAACCTTGACAATTTTAAGGTATGTGGACTTCAACTCCCAGAATTCCACAGCCAGCATTGCTGGCTGTGGAATTCTGGGAGTTGAAGTCCACATGCCGTAAAATTGTCAAGGTTGAGAAACACTGTTCTAGAGTCTCAACATCTTTTTTCATCGTGGTGACCAAAACTGCATGCAGTATTCCAGGTGTGGCCTTACCAAGGCATTGTAAAGTGGTATTAACTCTTCACATGATCTTGATTCTACCCCTCTGTTAATGCAGCCTAGCACTTTGTTGGCCTTTTTGTGTTGGCTGCAACACATTGCTGGCTCATATTTAGATGATTGTACACTAGGACTCCAAGGTTCCTCTTACAGTTACTACTATTGAGCAAGGTACCCCCTATACTATACCTGTGCATTTTGTTTTTCTTGCCTAAATGTAGAACCTTGCTTTTTTCACCATTGAATTTCATTTTGTTAGATAGTGCCCAGTGTTCAAGTCTTTCCAGAACCTTCTGTATCTTAAGCCTGTCTTCTGGGAGTTGGCTATTCCTGCCAGCTTGGTGTCGTCTGCAAATTTGATGAGTTCCCCATCTATCCCCTCGTCCAAATTGTTGATAAAGATGTTGAAGAGCACTGGGCCCAGAACAGAGCCATGGGGCACCCCACTACACACTTCCCTCCATGGAGATGCAGTTCCATTGAGGACCACACACTGAGTACGGCCGGTTAGCCAGCTACGGATCCATCTGGTGGTGGTGCTGTCTACCCCCCATTTTTCTATCTTGTTGAGTAGTAGATTGTCATCTACTGTATCAAATGCCTTACTGAAGTCCAAGTAAATTATGTCCACAGCATTCTTCTGATCCACTAATTTTGTCACTTGGTCAAAGAATGCAATAAGATTTGTCTGGCATGATCTCTTTTTGACAAACCCATATTGGCTTTTAGTAATGACTTTGTTTGCCTCTAGGTGTTCGCTGATTCGTTGTTTGATTATCTTTTCCAGGATCTTCCCAGGTATTGAGCTCAGGCTGATAGGTCTGTAATTTCCTGGGTCCATTTTTTTTTCCTTTTTTGTAGATGGGAGCTACATCAGCTCTTTTCCAGTCCTCTGGTAGTTCCCCTGTGCTCCAGGATCTTTGAAAAATATAGTTCAGTGGTTCTGAGATCACATCTGCCAGTTCTTTGAGAACCGTGGGGTGTAATCCATTTGGTCCTGGCGATTTGAACTTGTTTAGGCTGGACAGGTACTCACTTACCATTTTCTTGCCTATCTTAACTTGTGTTTCTATTCTGTTTTTTATGGCACTATTTTTGATAGGTTGGTCTATTTTTTCCCTTTGTGTAAAGACAGATGCAAAAAACGAGTTAAATAGTTCTGCTTTCTCCCTGTTGCTTGTCACCTTCTTGCCACTTTCACCCACTAATGGACCAATCAGTTCCTTCACTTTTTTCTTGTTTTTTACATGTTGAAAAAAGCTTTTTTTGTTATTTTTGACTTTGGTCGCAAGCCTTAGTTCATTTTGAGCCTTGGCTTTCCTCACTTCATCTTTGGAGGCTCGGGCTATTTGCTTATATTCTGACTTAGTTATGTGCCCCTCTTTCCACTTTCTATACCTGTCCTTTTTATCTTTCAATTTGTCAGAGAGTTCTTTATGCAGCCATGCTGGTTTCTTTTGAGAGCTGTTATTTTTCCTCTTTGTTGGTATTGTGCTAGACTGGGCTTTTATTATCTCATTTTTCAAACTTTCTCAAGCTTCTTGAGTTGTTTTCCCCTTGAGGATTCTCATCCATGGAATCCTTCCCAAACCCTCTCTAGTTTATTGAAATTAGCTCTCTTGAAGTCCAAGACTCTAGTTTGACTGTGTTCTATTGCTTATGCTTCCATAATGTTGAATTCCAGTATTGCATGATCACTTCCTCCCAGGGTTCCTATGGCTTCAACACCTTCTATCATTTCATCTCTGTTAGTGAGAATTAGATCCAAAATGGCTAATCCCCTAGTTCCCTTCTCTACTTTTTGGGATACAAAGTTGTCTGCTAGGTTTGCCAGGAACCTGTTTGATCTTCCACTTGGTGCAGAGTTTGTCTCCCAGTTGATGTCAGGGTAGTTAAAATCCCCCATTACTATTGTGATGTGCTTCCTACATACCTTAATTAGCTGACTAACAAAACGTTCATCTATTTCCTCTGTTTGCCAGAAGCCTAATTGAATGTAGGGATAACAAAGCTCTTGACAGGATTGCTTCTAAAGATCCTCTCCCTGAATGCCAGTCTCAAAAGTCCCTTGATTCTCTGAAGGACACTTGGAAATAAAGTGCTAGAAGAGATACTTAAGAGTGATGCTGGTACATGGCAAGGAGTATGTTGTGTCCTGGGCCTGATGAGGAAACTCAACAGGCCCAGAATTGTTGCAAATGGTCCCGGGCATTCTAAAAGCTGTCCGGGATCAGACAGAGCGGCGCCAACCTTGTGCACATGCGCAAGGCACAAAGAAAGAAGAACTCTTTTTTTTTTATTGAAAATTTTTAAAATTTTTACAAAAAAAGAAAAACATCTCTACCCAACCCACCCCAACCCTCCCACTCCCTCCCTCCACCTTCCCAGAGCTGAATATAGGCTTAATTAAAATTTCTTAAAATCTTAAAAAGAAGAATATAAACCATAAATAAGTCTAAATACAATACTTATACAACTTATAAAATAATTAACAATAATATATATATATATATATATAAAAAGCATAAATATTAGAGAAAAGGAAAGAAAAATGCTTAGAAAGAAGAATAAAAGAGAAAAAAGAGGAAAAGAAATATAAAAAATAAAATAAAAATAAAAGATATAAGGAACAAGAAAAAAAAGAAAAAAAAGAAAAAAATACAGTCTATAAAATATAAAATTTATATATAAGTTATTGAAAAACTAAATAATATTTTTTTATATCCAACCTGTGTTGTACAAAATCTATCCATTTTTCCCATACCGCAAAGAAGTTCTCTTGCGATTGATCCTTTAAAAAAGCCGAAATCTTTGCCATTTCCGCCAAATAAGAAACTTTAGAAAACCAATCTTGCAAAGTAGGCAAAGATTCCTTCTTCCAGTATTGCCCTACTAACAACCTTGCGGCTGTGATTAAATTTAACATCAATATAACCTCCTTAGTGTCACAATCAGTAACAATACCTAACAGAAACAATTGTGGGGTAAATTTAACCCTCCTTCTAAAAATTCTTTGAATATTCCACCATATCTTAATCCAAAAGGCTTTTATATTTTTACACGACCACCAGATATGATAATAAGTAGCATCCAAACAACCACATCTCCAGCATTTAGGCTGTAAGTCAGGATACATACGAGACAATTTTTGTGGATCAAGGTGCCATCTATGAAACATTTTATAAAAATTCTCCCTTAAGTTCTGGGCTTGAGTAAATTTAACATTCCTCACCCAGATGGTTTCCCAGGTATCTAGTAGAACTGGTTCACCGAAATTTTGTCCCCATTTAATCATACAATCTTTAATTAATTCTGGTTCTGAATCCAATTCTACTAGCACCCCATAAATTCTCTTAATGTGAGTTCGCCTTTGATCCTTTGTTTAAAAAAATTTTCATCTTCTCTAAGCAGACCCACATTACGATCTATCTTCCATCTATCCACTATTTGTCTATACTGAAACCATGAATATATAATGTTTTCTAGTACTAAATCTTCCAAAGATTTTAACTGCCAATTTTTACCATCCCATCTGAGTAGTTGTGCGTAGGAAACGCTATCCATCTTAACTCCTCTCCTTATACCATCTATCGCATGCCAAGGTATCGCCCATAATGGTATTTTAAAATCACTTCTGTAATATTTCCTCCAAACCCGAAGTAGAGAAATCCTTATAATATGAGATTTAAAAACCCGATCTGAAGAAAGAAGAACTCTTATTGGTTCACTCTGTCCGGGGTTCAAGCCCTATAAAAAGGCCTGTGTGCCTTTTGCTTTTTGCTTGGAGTTGGAGTAGGAGAATAAAGCATTGTTAATTGCCACCATGAGTCTTCATCATTCGCACACGAACGGAGAACTCAACAGAGTAAATCTAATTGAACACAGTATTGACTTATGTTCATGGCTACATCTTTTGGCGAAGCAAAAAATTTTCCTCTGTCTTTTTACATATATATGTACAGGGCCTTCCAAAGGCCCTTTTCAAAGTGACCCAGACTCTTTTAGGGAAGGATAGGTTAATTAATAGTCTTATTAATATTAACATAAATAGTCTCTTGTGAGTTCTTAGAAGAGTTATTTGCAGTTAAATTACTTGCATCAGCTCCAAGTTAGAAGCCTACTGAATAGAATCCAAGAAGTGATAAGAGTAACATATAATGTTACCTGGAAAGAGTTTGAACATGTTGACCTTGAAAAAGTACACAAAAAGCTTGGTGAGATGAGTTCTGTCATTTGTGGGCTTAATTCCTGCCCTGTCAGACTTATATTTGCTGCCAGAGAAAATAACCCAGGAAGCTGAATTTTAACCTCACTATGAGCTGAAATCATGTTCATGAAGGCTATATTTCTTCATCTTGGACTTACGTTGTCAAATATAATAGTGTTGGCTGTGGATGAGGCAAGGAAACAAAATCTCTCCTTCCTTACCTGGTTCTCTAGAACTATCTTCTCCTGTTATTATTTTCTGAGAAAGCCTCAAAGGATGGAAATCTAGGATTTTTAGAAGCTGTTAGCATCATTGTTAGCCATACTGGTTGGGACTGCTGAAAGATGAAGTTCAACAACACCTATAGAACTCCAGGTTCCCTGCCAGCATGCTAAAAGCTAAAAGCAGATATGGATTAAATATTTAGCATGCACTTTTTTCCACCATATAGTATGTGAGATAGGATCTGTCTTTAAAAAAAGTAAGAAGCTGCAGGTAATAGAGCCTGAATTCTACTTGTACACTTTATTGAGTTCAATGAAATGTGTTTGTATGTATCTTCTGTGTTACAGGATGCTATAAATGAATTCATTTCATTTGTTCTTGCTATAGAGCAATGATGAATCTCATCCTGAGTTCTACCCACTGGTCTTTGAATTGGCAGAAAACTAGACAACATAATTCTGGCAACGTGTATTCTGCCACAGGCACAATGCTGGCAAATAATGCTGTTTTTATTTACGAGCACTGTATTAAAACAATGAATTCCTCTTCTCTTAGCAATTGTTACCAGCCAGCTGATAACATTGGATAGTTAGATCCGTTTTGGACAGGGTTTTAACATTATTTGAAATAACTAAAGTTGTGTTCCAAAGAAACTAAAGTTGTGTTCCAAAGAATCCAAATCTGGGCTACCTTTGAATACACCTACACAAACCACTTGTGCCAGAATGGATTATCAGGCTCATTTTGGATTTGGATTTATCACAATTCCAGAGAATCACTAAATCTGTATTGAAAAGAAGAGCTGAGACGTATAGGAAAAGTTGTGCCCTGAACCAGCAAAAAAAATGGCGCTCTCTTTCCTCCTTCATTATGCAGCCCTTCAACTGCCATCACTGAGAGCTGCTGTTTAGACTGTCCAGGTATCTGATCCAGGAATTGGTTCAGAGGCCTGGCAGGTATAGGGGAGAAAGCATTTTCAAAAAATCCAACTTTCCCATTGCTCAGAGCAGAATGACCTTGGAAGTCAGCATTACAAGGACATGACGGAATAAAGATTGGCAGGATATATGCCAGGGTTAGGTTATCTATCCTCTTTCAGGGTGGCCTTCTGAAGTAGGATAGATAATTCTGTCAATGCTGCCTCTCTCATTCTTCCCCTTCAATTCAGGATACAGAATCCAGTGTCAACTTATGCCGAAAAATATTGTCAAAATGTTTGAGAGCATGTTAACAAGCTTTATGTGTGCTATTTTTCATTACTGCTTTTTTTTTCTCCCCTCTTTAAGCATCCCTGTCCTTTATGTGAAGAAGCCAAAATGATGCTTGAACCACATAAACACAAGGTAGGTTAATACAGTCCTTTGTTTGAGCAGAACACCGACATGCAACATTTGAAATGGGGAATCAGAATATTCCTGTTTGCAGAAAGACATGAATGTATTAGCATCAATTTCTCTTTCTTTTAGCAATTTTTTAAATTAGTTTTCACAACTGATTTTCATAAAGCCAATTCTTGGAAAGCACTTTTACTCTTTTTGTTGCAACTGAAAATTGTATTGTTCTATTACAAACTGGCATCAGAATTGGCTACAGAAATTAAATGCCTTGATTGGCCATATTAATTATCTTCAGTATCCAAAAGAGAAACCATGAGTCATCTGGGTTTGTTTGTTTGTTTATTCTTCTGGGTGGCTTGACCAAATTATATGCATTGCCTAAAAAAAATCTAGGAAGGGTAGTCACTTTTTTTGGCAATCATTCTTTTCCTTCAGCACAAGAACATTTAGATGGTACGGTTTGAAGGCATTGCTCCTCGCTAGACAACTCCAGTGTTTTCAATATTTACATGAAACTATTGAAGGAGTTGATCAGTAGATTTGAAACCAGGTATGATCTATGTGCTGATGATACCCATCTTCAGATAAAGATGGGGTTGCCTGAATGTACTGTATGTTGGCATTTGATAAAAAGTTGGGTGAGGAGTTATACACTGAAATTTAACAAGAGGACATTTGCTCATTTATATTATTTTACTATATTACATTAGTAATCAAAGTTATTAAAGAAGATAGTAATCTATAAACAGGCAACAGCATTCATACTGTAATTTAACGTCAGAATTAGTAATCTTGATCATGATTAAAGGGGGTAGAATTTTGAAAAAATTATATTGTAAAAGACCGTATTTGCTTCTTCCTGTCACTTCATTGCAAATAAAAGCCTAGTTCAATTGTTGACTGAAAAAATTACAATTTTTCTAGATTTGATATATTTCAAATACTAGAGATATAGTACTGAAGAACTTGTGCAAGTGTTGAGTAAACAAATAACAATTTCATCAGCTTCCCATAACAAAAGGATTACTGGTAGCTGTGTTAAACCCATGTTAAACTTCTAACCAGAAATTCTGGGAAATTCTGAGAGCTGAAATCCACACAACATAAAGATGCCAAGGCTGAGAAACTGCTCTTACCACTATGGAACATCAGAAGCAGCAATAGCATCTGGACAAAATACAGTAAATGAGAAATGCTTGAATTATATAAACTGCCAAGAAACAATCTGATGTAATTCGTTTGTTTGTTTGTTTGTTTTAATTCAGCAAACACTTTAAAATGGATTTTTCAAAACTGAATTAATACAAAGTAATAATGTTATGAAAAGCTTAATTGATTTTTTAAAAATGGATTTCTCTACTATTCTACATGCTTCCATATGGTTACCTATCATACTATTCCTTTTCAAGGTAAACAAAGTTATACAAAACACAGAAAAGGATGAAAGAAATACTAAACCAAAGAAATTAAAGGCCCAAGATAAGGAACTGAAAAGGCAGCATAGCTAAAAATAACTTATGCCAGTACTATTCTGTATAATTTTTCATAACTTTCTGTCCATGCAAATCATCCTTATTTCAGCCATATCTATGCGCCACTTCATATACTGCCTTTTGTTCTTTCAATTTTCTTCCTGTTTTTGAGGATCTTGTTAACTTTCCTGCCCTTTCCCTGCCTCTTGACCCATTAAAGGTATAGTCCTTAGTAGTCAATGCCATAGATTGAGTAAGTCTACTAATTTAGTCTATATCTTTGGTATCTTACTAAAGGAATAAAAAAGTATTTTTCAACATGGATTATTCCATAATAAACTTTCTATGGGTAAACCAGTCAAAATAATCCAGTGTTGTAGGTACCAAAACAAAGCGGCATTAATTTTTAACCCACACAGGGATTCTGATACTTGTCATGGACTCAAATAGAGGCTTTCAAGTTTACCCCCCCCCCAAAGAGGCTGAGTTCTGAAGTATTGAATAGTCATTAATTGAAGGTAGGATAAATATCCAGTGATAACCATGATAGTGGGAGAAGTCAAATCTTTCCCAATAGTTATAATTTGTGCAATAAAATTATTGTGTTTATCTGTAGCCAAGTTGGTCTCCAGAAGTGCTCAAAGAGAATATGTTACTGCTGGACATTATACATGTGCACCAGCTGCCAATTTGCTTTAAGGCATTAGTTCCCAGAACAGCCTATTCCAGTGAAATCATTTTTCTATTGCCACCTTCAAAAAAATGTTAATACTTAGTATAAATGTATATAATCCAACACTTCTTATGGGTAAATCATTCTTGCTGAATTGTATAAATAAAATCCATCAGCGGACAAATAATGATGGATAAGTATGGTGTTATATAAATCTTTTCACCTGGTGGTTAACATAGACATTTATTACAAGCACTCTTTATTTTAATAGTATGTTACAAACTTCATGATTCCTGTAAAATGCACCATTTTTAATACATTCTGGTTTTAAAAAATCAAGTTTATTCCTATTTATAATTGTAAAAAAAAAAAAAAAAGATTGGACACTCTGGGAAATAGAACTCATTTGAATGTTCCCCAAAACATTGTCTCACCTTCTCTTAGATTTAACTGACCTTTTTTGAAAATCCCTCTCTGAGGTGGGATGAGATGATGATCTTGATTGGGAAACTGCATCAGAGTTTTAAAAGGGTTTTTTGTAAGCTTCATATACCTTGATTTAGGATTCTTAGGAGAATATAAATTTCTATATGATACCATGAGCTGTTTTGGCTGTACCTCCATTAACCCTTTTCTGGAACTACCTTCCTACTTTTTTTAAGCCCTTGCTAGCTTAAGAGATTTAGCTCCTTTGTTGGCTTTTAAAAAGGCCCTACCATGTATCTTTTAAATAAACAATGCTTAATTGTTGATTTTGTTTGCTTCTAACTATTCTTAGTACTTAATTGTAATAGAGTGTTTTATTGTAAATCATCAAGAGATCTTAATTATTATCAACAGTGTTTCATAAGTACTAAAATTGGAAGTATTTCATGATAAAATAATTCAGTGTTAAGTATTACAGTTCCTACCAAAATAATTGCCTCAAAATCTTCATGGCTTTGATTTTGTCCATTTAAATGCATAAGATAAAGCAAATATCCAGATAAAGTGGTTACTGAAACAGAAGATGGCTGTGCTATCTTATGCAGCCTGGAAGTTATATTAATTGCTTTTCTAAAAATATATTTAGAATCCCAATCAATGGGATTTCCTTTGTTTTAAATATCTGATTGTTTCTTTTTCCAATTTAAAAATTTGCTAAAACTGTTTCTTTGTTAAGCAGGAATGAGTTAGTATAAAGATTTTCTGAAATTGGAATGACAGTGAAAGAGAAGAAATCTGACTGTGCACTGAAAATTTGGTCAACATGTAATTCAAGACAAATGTTTGCTTTAATTACTAGACTCAACTCATTTAATTTGCTTTATTCTTTGTTTATTCTGATCCAAGGCCTCCAGGAAATAATACTTTTTATATATAATGGAACCTGAAGATTATTGGACCAACTGCACAGGGCTGATTTGCCCTAGAATAATATTGGGAGGTCAGGAATCTCAAACATGGAGATGAGATCATTCCAGAAAGCAATCTGAAATCAGATCTAATTAGGGCATTTTAATCTCCACTGCCATTTTACACGTCTTCTGTCTTCCCAAATGGAAACAGTTGAGATCTCTCCAGCCTAGTAAACATGTCTTCTATAAGTGACTCACGGTTACCACTTACAAAACCAGTAGGAATACCTCACACGAAGGTAGCCAAAGGTTATCTAGGATGCTTGACAAAAAAGACCAAGAACATACTTACTGAACCATAATTCGGGGAATTAACACAAACTTGAGTTCACATAGTAGACTCCAACATAAACTAATCCTACAAGTTGGGTTCTTCCAACTTGCTAGACTAAAATATGATTGACTAGATTGCAGTTCAAGTTATTGTGCAAATGTAGCCTATCAGCAATCGTTCATCACACTGCCGGCAAATTTCAAAATCACTTATTCATTTGTAATCTAAGTGAGGACAAATTGGGAGACTATTTCTTACAACTTTTTTATCTGTAGCAGTGGTGTCAAACTGCTGGCCTGCGGGCCGGTTTCATCATACCGGAGCTGCGCCCACCCCATTGCCGGCAATGGCAAAAAAGCTCCGATACATTTCGCGACATCACGTGATGTTGCGAGTTTGACATGTCTGATCTATAGTAATAGTCCTTATAGGGTCCTCTTATTCAGATCGTTAAAAAAGTCTTGCTGAAAAAAATAATAAACCTAATCAGTTTTTCCAGTGGAAGTATTGCTTTACAACCTACATAGATTTTCTCTGAGATCAATTCTTATACTATGATTTATTACTATGCTTTTCTAATGTTTGGCTGCTAGTTATTTTATTGACCATTTGTTTTTGTTTTTTTAGTTTATTTTGGAGGAAATAGATATATCTCTACCAAACCATTCAGTTTGGCTTGAAAAATACAAGTATGAAATACCTGTCTTTCATCTGAATGGGAAATTCTTAATGAAGCATCGGGTAGATATACAAAAACTAGAAAATCAACTCTTGAATTTGGAATTACAAGATGAAAGAAACAAATGAAGAAGAAAATGAAGATATTTAACTGCAAACCATAAGGATTGCATTGATCATTTTTGTATTGCCTTCGCTACAAATAAAACCATACCCTGCAGATTTTATAATCAACTATCAGAGTTGTTTGATAACATGTTTATTTCATATTGACTATGTTCTTCACTGACAGTAAACACAACGCTCATTTTAGAGTTTTTTTTCAGTTGTCATACATCACACATACGCTTTAGACTTTATGCTACTACTATACAATAGAATATAATTGTATTAATAAATTTGAAGCAGCATAAAGCTTGGTCCTAAAATAATTGAAACAATATGAAACCAAGTAAGCTTATTGTCAATTTCACCTTTATTATTATATTAGTTCTTAAACATTTTATAACTTTCTTTGGGTATCAGTTTGCATAGCTAACAATAGATTTCATCTTAATGCTAAAGTTATATAGCAGCCTTTCCTTCTAAATATGTTGGACTTTAACTTCCATTATTCTGTTGGCTTGGAATTCAGTGCATCTGGAAGGTTTCCATCTGAGAGAATTTGCCTATATAAGCACAGACAGTCCTCAGTTTACAGCCATTTGTTTAGTGACTGTTTTAAGTTACAACAGCAGTGAAAAAACTGACTTATGACCTTTTTTCACACGATCAAAATTGGGAAACTTGGCAACTGGCTCATATTTATAACAGTTGCAGTATCTCAGGGGTCACGTGATCACCTTTGGCAACCTTCAGACAAGCAAAGTGTCAACTCTACAATGAACCTGGCTGCAGCCATTTTTGCTCGTTCTAGTTTGCCACAAGAATGGGAGGGGGGTGCGGAGGATTTCCACTAGCCTATTTTACTGTCCCGTGGGAACCAAGGTCATTTTTGTCAGTTAGATGGGGGCATGAGCATTTGGTCAGAAAGCCTGCCAAATTCTTCTATTGGGGAACGTAGCTGATTACATCACACTGGGATGGGAAGTTTAACTTTGTAATATTGTTTCTCTTTGAAATGAACTTCAGACTTGGTTTCACCTTTGATCATGCCGATACTATGTAACCAATAAACATGTTCTTTGAGGAAATCTCAAGTTTCAGAGTTCTGATTTATTTGGTTTTGTCTGTCGGAACCTTAACACAAAATCCATGGGGAATCCAGATTAACTTAACAATTGCATTACTGACTTAACAACGGCAGTGATTCACTTAACAATTTTGACAAGAAAGGTCGTAAAATGGGGCAAGCTCACTTAACAAATGTCTCTCTTAGCAACAGAAATATTTGGCTCAATTGTGATCTTAAGTCGAGGACTACATGTACATACATGAAAATTGGCCACTCTTTGTGAAAACTGTTTGCAATCTTTCGGATTGCTCCTGGAAGCCAGTCGAAAACTTCAAATCCTGTACAGCATTTGGACCAAAGTCCTTTTGGCTATATTGGCAAAAAGACAAATAGGTGGATCGTTGAAATAGATTATCTTCAGAGTCTTTTCCAGTTCTGTGATCTGTTTCCTCATAATTGGTCTTTCATTAGAGGCTTATTAGTTAATGATGCCTCATTAAATATACATAAAAGTGGATCCAAGAGGTAAAGAGCCTGCAGCAGTGTGTGATAGCCTCTGATATGATTTGCTTTTACTCCCATGGAAATTTAATAGACACAACAAGCAGAGAGGTTATCATAATTAGTATAAGTGCTCTTTATATAAAACCTTGATGGCTGTACACAGAGTACTCAAACTGAGTCTCTGGCTAGCTTAAACCAATTGAAGGCTTTTTCTAATTTGCGTTCCAAAGGAACTACTCAAAGAATCCTTGTTTTCCCAACAGGCTTGAGTCTCTTTAAAAGGATAATTATTAACACTAAAAATTAAATATTTCATTAGGGAATTTAATTTTTGGCTTTTGGTAAAGATCTTTACAAAATGTTGGTAAATGGAGATTAATATAATCCTTTTGTACTTTCCCTTCTGTGCTCTTTAAATCTTTTTTTCTTCTTATTCATCCCAATTCTTTAAGGCTCCTGATTCCTCTGATTATTATTTGTGTTATTTTATTACAACAGTATAAATGAGTAAAGCATATTAAAGTTGTGAACTCATTCATCTTCGCAAATGGTCTGTATTGTAAAGTAGTCCTCTTTACTGCAGGTAGAACGGACATAAAAGTGTAGCTATGTCCTTAGTGAACTCAGCTTTGGTTTAATGAAGCCTCCCCTTCTATTAATACAGCTGCAGCCTATGCTTATACAGTATATACTTCCTAGCATATCAGCTACTGCTGCCGCTTTTAATCAGCTGTGAGTGCAATACAATCAGGAAAAGACATCTTCAGAAGAGGAAACAGTCTTCCCATCTGAAGATGAAATTAATGTTATGGTTTGTAATATAGTGTCTGTCCTCTCAAATGCCATTTCACTGAGAGCTCTGACTACTAGAATTATTATTATTCCTGTGTAACAGACTAATGTATGCAAAGGTCATATTGAGAACACCAGCTTGTAGTATGCTTATATGTCCTTATTTTATTGATCTGCTTGTCTTTGGTGAAGGTAGAAAGTTTAGCATTGTAGATTTCCATAACAATGAACCTGCACCTCTTTAAGAGGAATATGCACATATTTTATTGTATGCTGCCCAGAATTACTTTTGGTGTAATAGACAGCTATACAAACTAAATATATAAAATGTACATAAAGTTACATGAAAAAATGGAGGCAAAATTAAAGGTTTCAATGATTCCTTAGGAAATAGAAGCTGTACAGCCAGTGGTGGGATTCAGCCGGTTCACACCACTTTGGCGGAACCGGTAGCTAATTTTTTGTTGCCCAGGCCCAGAATGGACTTCGGAAAGCGGCATCCACACAAACAAATATGTTCACATATTTGAATCCCACCACTGTGTACAGCCTCTACATAATACAATGTATAAATGAGATTAGTATGCAATTTAAATGCATAATTAGTATTTATGTGTTTGCAGAATCAAAATAAAATACCGTAGTAAATTTGGGAGGTGCAAACATACAGATATTTTTCCAGTTGATTCAGTACACTTTTATTTTTACTACAGAGTTGTTAATAAAGATCCAAAGTGTGATTGACTCATTGGGCTTAAAATTAACTAGAAGAAGACAGTCCCACAGATGACGAAAAACTGACACTTCTGAGTTTTCAGGTTGTGATTTTTATTCTATCAGCTTTCGACAACCATGCTAAACAACTGTCTGAGCATTTGAAAGCAAAGATAGTTCATTCTTACAAAGCAGGAGAAATATATGAGGGTATTCTTCCAGATAACTTCAACAGTGAGAAGCACTATTAGGAAGTTACATGGAATTCTTGAAATTCTGCCATTTTCACTGTTTTTTAAATTTTGTATCGTAAAGAATTGCACATGGTGTTGTCTCTCCTGAAAGGTGTAGAAAGAGGCTGTGTTTAGTTTTGTGCCATGGAGATGGTTGTCTGAGCTTATGTTCACTTAGAGGTTCATTGCAACATAAATTTGACCAGTTTTGCACGCAACTGTATTTCCTCAATGTCAGTTTCCTTAAATCAATGCAAACTGATACACAGAAACAGAACATAGTTGGGCATATCACCTGCAGAATTACTGTAGCTCCAGTGATTACGCAGAAACAGAACAAAAGAGGGAACCAGAAAATATTCCAATAGCTTATTTTACATAGAAATGTGAAGAGAAGGCATTATAGAAGAACAATCCATCTGAAGAAAAACAACACGAATACTGCAATGGTAAGTTCTGTTTCATAAACTTGTTACGTTTTCTGAGACATTTACTTACGTTTGCAAAAGGTTTTGATGAAGACTCCTATGATGGAGACTAATTTTTAGGATCAATGTTAATGAACAGAGTAAATAGGACAAAAGTTAAACCTAGGTAGCATTTTTGGAAGCAGCATGGCAATAGATTCTTGCCATTGTTCTTCCAAGGTGTGTGTTTGGCTCTTACATTTTAGCTTATTTATAACGTTGAGATTTTGTACTGGTTTTAGCCAAGTACTAACAAGATCTAACTTCACTTAACTTTAAAAAAAAATCAACTAAAAGCAAGCCATAATTAAGATACTGATCCCAATGAGGATCTGGAAGAAGTCATTTGAACCTTAGCTAAGCAATCTGTGGTCATTACACCATCAGTACTTTAGAAATATATGGGAACTTCTCGTTTTCTTTAAGTCTCTGTTTGCATTTTAAGACGTGGCTTAAAATGCAGATCAACTTGTATTTTTATTTTGAACTACAGCAGACCCATCCAGCTATTTAGTCGCTTCATAGCCAAAACTAAGACCGCCATACATAGGGACACAAAATAAAAACAACATTTCTAATCAATACCTTAAAATTCTGAAAGAAAATAATAAGAAAAAAAAACTCTGATTCACAAAGCAAAACTCCGATAGATGCAAGAAGTTCAGTTCTAAAAGAAACGAATCTCCTTTACTCGGGAGGAGCAGTGCCACACCCAATGCTCCGCCAAACGAATTTTGCCCTTGCAGCCTGGGAAGACGCGATGAGAAACGGGAGCATCCCAGCAAATGCAGGCAGCGGACGAAGCGTCTCTCCCCCCACCCTCCTCCTATCCAGCCCCCGACCCTGCTTTTTCTACCTGACGCTTGGCCTGATGACCTATCCCATCTGCGCTTCCGTCGACTGTCCACCAGGGGTCCCCTTCCTCCCAAAGGCCATTTGTCCCCTAGCTCTCCCTCTTGCTCCCGCCCTCCCCGTGTCCAGTCCAATGCTCCCAGCCGGGCGAGCAGAAATCGGCGGCTGCCACTCTGCAGAGCCTGCCCCGCCTCCTGCCCCGCCCCTTTCCCCGGTCTTTGCTCTGCTGGCGCTGCTGGCCGCGTAGCCGAGGTTGGCTGCGCTCGCTAAGAGGTCAATGAATTGGCAGGGGCTGGGCGAGAGGGACGCCCCTGCGTGTTGGGATCCCTGTCCCTCCAGCCGGCTTGGGCGAATGATGCGGCGGCTTGAGAGCGGGACCCTTCCCGAGGAATGACCAGGGGTGTGTGCTAGCGCCGGAGGAGGGTGAGTCCCCGCATCAGGCCCCGGGATTTTCTCTCGGCTTAGGCGATCGGTCTTGGTGGACTGGAAGGCTCGGGGTTCAATTACTCAGAGCCCGGAGTTTGCACTGCCACCGCCAGATTGGGTTTGTTAACTATTCTTACAACTTATTCTCCGCCTATAATATTGTCAGTGGGCTCCGCGTAGTAACAATGAGGAAAGATTGTCTCCCGAGGGTGGAAAAACCCGTTACTTTCTGCCCCCTTGATTCTTTCTCTTTATCTGGCAAAAAAAAAAAACCGCTGTGATTTAGTCTTTCTGGTATGATCATATACAAATAGTAGACGGGGGAACGATCGGGAAAATAAATAAAATTAGTTGCAAGTGGGTAGGATCCAAAAGATGAAAACTTTTTTTCCCCTCAAAAAAGTGACTTCTTACTTTGCAATAATTATCATCACAATATTTAGATGTCAATTCAGTGACTCCAAGGGGAATAGGTTAACCAGCAATGTTAATGTTTCTGACTGTAATTGGATAATTGTCTTCCCTAAAGAAAAATGCAGATGTATAGAAAGGTTTTGAAACTGACAGATGCAATGGAAATCTTACGTTGTAAATGCAAGTCTGTGCATATTTATTACATGATGCACCTACCTATATATTAAAAGTGGGCCTGCCCTTGTGTGTATACAAATATAACCCTTCCCGTAGCAACAATTTAGCTGCAAAAACAAGCTGACAGAAGCTAAATAGCATGAGCTAAAATGTCATTCCACCTTGATCTGTCTTTTCCTTCTGTCCTAGAATAGCGACTCAAGAATAATTCCGGGGGAGAGGGGACAAAAAAGAACTGTCCTTTATTTCTACAGCTTAATTTGTTCTTCCCTTTTGAATAGTTGCATCTGGATTCCTCCCCCCCCCCCCAAATGTGCAAGTGTTTAAAATGTTGACAGCAAATGTCAGTGCTAGCCCTTGTCAGATATATTTCTGCACATCTCTTGCTTCTTTGCATGAGTGCATGTAAGTGCCTCTGGAGAGGTAAATGATATGGATGTAGTATTCTTGTTTGCCTTCCTTTGTTTATGCCAAATGATGGGCCATAATGTATGTAACAAGAATGCAGTTCCGAATGCCAAGTCTTGAACTTCCCCTGGGTTGATGGGAGGGGGGTGAGGAGAGATTGGCCACTGTGTGTACTGTGTGTGTGTGTGTTCTCTTCACTGTGGAATTGTGTACAAGTCTGAATCTGCCTGTGTCCGTGAACTTTACGAGCATTCCGTTCAGTATTGCTCAGTGCGGATTCCAGCTAGCTCCCTGGTTTATGGCCTGCAGTTTGCTACTCGGCCCATCTGTTAAAACACACTCCAGCTACTGCTGACAAATCCAGGCAAACACAGTAAAAAAAAAAAAAAAAAAAAAAGCAGGAGCCTGCTTCCTAATTGTAAACATTCATAATTGGAAATGATAAAGGACAGAATCTGATTGTCAACTGAATTTGATTCTAAGTAAAGGCGCTTATAATGCCACCTTGGGAAGAGTGTTTTGGGGTTGTTTTTTGTTTTTTTTATAAATCTAAAAGCTAGCATCCTGCCAAATCAAGTTCTATTGTTGCTGTTGTTTCCTGCCAAATTGATTTTAATGACAAGGTTCCGTGAGGGGTTGGTTTGCCTTGGCTCTTTTGAGGCTGAGAGGCAATTAAATGTTATCTAATTAATGGAAATGTTGCACAGCATTTCTCCATCAAAGTTTAACTGATTAATGAAATGCTCCTGCTTAGGCATCCCTACCAAAATGGTAATCCAAAGCACAGCAATAGGGCTGAATCTGAATCAGGGAGCACTTGCTTGTACTTGGGGTTCATGAGAATTAAGAATGCTGGCATTTGGTCGATGCCAAGTATTCTAGAATCAAAGAAAAATGGATAAGGGTTTTCTGTCTTAAGAATACTGTTTCTCCAGCAGAACCTTCAAAAAAAACTCTGCAACTTTGTGAAAGAGCATGCCCTCCTTGAAGTGACAGTGGAGGAAAATTTCCGGTGTTTTGTGGCTTTTTGTTTGCATCAGCTATTAGAAATGATGTCCCTGATAAGCAGGACATTATTGTACATCATAGCAATTTATTATATAATACATCTATTTAAAACAAGTATGCTGTCCACATGAATTGTAAAAAGCAAGTTCCAACATTTTTTAAAGGACAGAAAGAACAGAAGAACTTGGTAAATGCCTGTGACATCTCCACACCATTCCTACTTGCCACACTCTAGCACAGTAGTATGCTTATAGCAGAACAGGTGCAACAGAGTTATTTCTTGGAAGAGTGATTATTTAATAATTAATTTCCCAGGAAGTACATCTACTGTTTTTAAGTGCAATTGTAGTGAATAGCAGTTCCCTACAATAGTCAGTGAAATGCCTGCTGAGATAATGGAATTTGGTTAATTCAGCCTTAGCTGAAAAGCCTTTTGAGGAAAATTACAGCATCTGGAAAAGGTCTTGAGTAAGTACTCAGAGGACTGTGTAGTGTGGTCATTAATTCAAAAATAACATATCTTAGTCTGAACCCTGGCCTTTGAATACTCACCTTCAGAATAATTGCTTCAGCATTAAAAGATTTTCTTTTGGGTTTTTTAAGTGTGAGAAGTAACAAGAGAAAGTTCATTTACGGCCAAGTTGAGATTTCCCTTATAACAGTGGTTCTCAACCTTTTTAATGCCACGACCCCCAACCGGTCGTAAGTCGGGGACTATTCAACCGGTCGTAAGTCGAGAACCAGTCAACTGGTGCAGCACCGTTTGCAGAATGGGACTTTTGGCGGGCTCAGCAGGGCAGAGACAGCCTGGACAATTCCTATTGGCTTTTGAAAGCCAATAGAATTAGACTCTGTTCAAGAGAGTCTATTCTATTGGCTTTCAAAAGCCAATAGAATAAAAGGGAGTAGCACAGCTAAGGAAAAGGGGGAAAAAATGGCGGACTGCATTGTTTGGCGACCCCTGTGAAATAGTCGTTTGACCCCAAATGGGGTCCCGACCCACAGGTTGAGAACCACTGCCTTATAACATGCATACTTTCAGTATCGTAAGATCTTAATTCAATTAATTGCTACTATAATGGATGAGAGCCAGTTTGGTGTAGTGGTTAAGGCCTCAGGCTAGAAATCAGGAGAGTATGAATTCTTGTCCCACCTTAAGGGCAAACCCAACTGGGTGATATTTGGCCATTCTCTCTCTCTCTCAGCCCAAGGAAGGAGGCAGTGGCAAACCACTTCTGGGAAACCTTGCTAAGAAAACCGCAGGGCAGGCAGTCTCTGAGAATTAGATACAGCTATCGTAGAACAATATTGAAGGGAAAAAATATACAATTGATAAGTCAGTTTTTATACTTTTTTATTAATAGTAACTTTATTAAACATTACAGTTAAAAAGATAACAAGCTAAAAAAATAAAAGAATAGCAAGAAAGAGTAGAAAATGCAGAAAGAAGAAATATAGAAAGAAACTTTAAAAAGAAGGAACAAATAACAATATACTAAGGAAAAAGAAATAGATAAAGAAACGACTTATCCCTTCATCATAAGTATGCACAATTTTAGTAACTTATCATTCTTTCTTAAAATACAGCAAATGATCTCTTCTTCCCATGTCTCATCTCTTATATATAAACAGCTTCTTAAAACAAATGAAGGTGAATATACGCATCCCAGGATAATGTTGCAGGATCCAACCTGGGTCAATCATGGCAGGGGCCCCCAACCTTGGCAACTTTAAGACCTGTGGACTTCAACTCCCAGAATTCCCCACTTGCCAAGGTTGGGGACCCCTGAGTCACGGGGACCAGAGTTTCATTTTCTGAGCTTTCGGATTTGTGCTGGAGCCCATCCTTGGAGAACTTCTCTCTAATGGAATGTGTGCTTTCTATTCTATGTATAGTATTTATGTAGTGCCTGGTTGTGTGTGGCTTTTTTAAAAAAAATGTTGATTGGGATGTTGATGGCCAACTACTGAGTCATTGGCTGTTGTTTCTTTGAGCTGCAAAGTCCTCGGCTCCTGAGTACCTGATAAGCTGGTGCTGAATCAGCATTCTGTTGACTGACAAGGGGCCCATTTCCCAGGCTTCAGTCATTTCCCTGGCTACTTTTGTACCTGCTTCGCTGACAATCTTAGTAGCTGCAGAATTGAATGTATGTCCTTGTTCATTGCAGTGTGATGCTACCAAAGAGTTCGGGTCTCTTCATCTGACCTTAAAGCCTCTGTTGTTCAGTCCTGTTCAGCAAAATAATCCATTAAGAATTAACAGAGATAACAACATGTCTACTTGCTCAAATAAACACACTTCATATATATTATTTTTATTTTTAACAGTCTTATTCTTTAATCCAGTGTTTCTCAACCTTGATAACTTGTAGATGCGTGAACTTCAGTTCCTAGAATTCTTCAGAGAGCATTCTGGGAGCTGAAGACTATACATTCTCAGGGTACCAAAGTTGAGAAATACTACTTTAATCGCTTCAAATATTGTCATAGAACTTGATTTCATTATTTATCTCTACTCACAAAATTCTTCAAAGCAAATCTTTTTTGTAAATTCAATATAAAAAATTATCTAGGCCACTCTTTTGGTTTATTTGTATATCTCTTTTTATTGTTAAGATTTCAACTAGTTTCATGTATATATCCACTGTAGCATCTTTTTGATATCATTCTTTAACAGCCTGCCATTTTTAAATCCATTTCCAGATCAGTCTGTTTTGTCCTGTAAATTTGTTCCTTTTCCGTAATATTTTTAAAGACAGTCTATCTCAGCAGTTCTCAACCTATGGGTCGCGACCCCATTTGGGGTCGATCGACCATTTCTCGGGGGTCGCCAAACAAGGCGATTCGCCATTTTTCCCCCTCAGGGGGCGCCGCCGCGCACGCACGCTGCGCATGGGGCCGCCGCCGCGCAGCGCACCGCGCATGGGGCCGCCGCCACGCACGCGCACCGCGCATGGGGGCGGCAGCGCCACGCATGCACACCGCGCGTG